ATTGATAAAGGACATGAATCTGGAAGGCTCTACATCCTTGACACACAGGTGCCCAGAACCATTGCATGTTCTAGTATTTCGACCCCTTCTGAGGCGCATTGTCGGTTAGGACATCCTTCTTTACCATTGTTAAAGAAACTATGTCCTCAGTTTAATAATTTATCTTCATTAGATTGTGAGTCATGTCAATTTGCCAAACACCACCGTCTTTCTTCAAGTCCAAGAGTCAATAAACGAGCTAGTGTCCCTTTTGAATTAGTTCATTCAAATATTTGAGGTCCGTGATCTATTATGTCTAAACCTGGATATAAATATTTTGTTACATTTGTTGATGACAACTCTCGTGTAACTTGGCTTTATTTAATGAAAAATCGTTTTGAGTTGTTTTCTCATTTTTGTGCCTTTTGTGTTGAAGTTAAAACTTAATTTAATACTTCTGTCCAGACATTAAGAAGCGATAATGTCAAAGAATATTTTTCGAGTTCTTTTCAGTCTTATATGAGTTAGCATGGAATTCTTCATCAATCCTCTTGTGTTGACACACCGTCCTAAAATGGAGTAGCCGAAAGGAAAAATAGGCACCTTCTTGAAACCGCCCAAGCCTTATTATTTCAAATGCAAGTTCCTAAACAATTTTGGGCCGATGCAGTTTCCATGGCTTGTTTTCTAATTAACCGCATACCTTCATCTATTCTAAATGGTTCCACTCCTTACAGTGTTCTCTTCCCGTCTAAGCCTTTGTTTCCTATTGCACCAAAGATATTTGGTAATACTTGTTTTGTTCGTGATGTTCGATCCCAGGTAACCAAGTTAGATCCCAAATCTCTTAAATGTGTTTTTCTAGGTTACTCTCGCCTTCAGAAGGGATATCGATGCTATTGTCCTAGTGTTAATAAATATTTGGTGTCACTTGATGTTACTTTCTTAGAAAACACCCCTTTTTTTCCTACTTCGTCTACCTATACAAGTCATGGGGAGGTTGAGGACTTACTAATCTATACTGCCACATCCCTACCGGCTACTCTTACACATGAGGCTTCCCCACCTACTATTCCTCCTCCTGCACCACCTCATGTCCGTCCACTACCTCCAATTCGCATTGTCTATTCTCGTCGACAAAAACCTCCTATACCAGTCCCTTCATCATCAGATCTAGTCTCCAGTGATCCTAATACTTGTGTTCCTCATCAAAAAGACCCTCATAATTCATGTCCTACCCAAGACTCTTCATCGTTGGATCCAACCTTGAGTGATCTTGATCTTCTTATTGCCTTTCGGAAAGGTAAACGTCAGTGTTTTTATCCTATCTCTTCATTTGTTTCTATGATCACCTATCATCTTCTTCTTGTTCTTTTGTGGCATCACTAGACTCTGTCTCCATTCCTACAACTGTTCATGAAGCCTTATCTCATCCTAGCTGGCATGATGCTATGATAAAAGAGATGAATGCTTTAGATGTTAATGGTACTTGGACCTTGGTTGACTTACCTATTGGAAAGAGACCTATTGGATGCAAATGGGTGTTTGTTGTTAAAGTAAATCTTGATGGGTCAGTGGCTAGGCTTAAAGCTCGTCTTGTAGCTAAAGGCTATGCTCAAACTTATAGAGTGGATTATTCTGACATTTTTTCCCCTGTGGCTAAATTGACTTATGTTCGCTTATTTATCTCTATGGCGGCTACTCATTCTTGGCCATTACATTAGTTGGACATAAAAAATGCCTTTTTACATGGTAACCTTCAGGAAAAAGTCTATATGGAGCAACCGTCTGGGTTTGTTGCTCAGGGAAAGTATGGGAAAGTTTGTTATCTTCGCAAATCATTGTATGGTTTGAAACAAAGTCCACGTGCTTGGTTTGGAAAGTTCAGTTAGGTAGTTGAAAAGTTCGGAATGACAAAGAGCAAGTCTAATCACTCAGTCTTTTACAAACAATCGGCAGTTGGCATTATTCTTCTTGTCGTATATGTTGACGACATTATCATCACTGAGAGTGACACTACAGGGATTTCATTACTTAAGTCATTTCTTCACACCCAGTTTCATACAAAAGATTTAGGAGTGTTGAAGTATTTCTTGGGGGTTGAGGTAACAAGGAGCAAGAAAGGCATATTCCTCTCTTAAAGGAAATATGTACTTGACTTAATAACTAAGACAGGAAAATTGAGTGCTAAGCCATGCAGTACGCCAATGTTTCCTAATGCGCAACTTACCAAAGATGGTGAACTGTTTGAAGATCCTGAGAGGTATAGAAGACTGGTTGGAAAGTTGAACTATCTAACAGTCACTCATCCTGACATTGCATACTATGTCAGTGTAGTAAGTAAATTCATGTCTTCTCCGACGGTCGACCATTGGGCAGCATTAGAACAGATTCTGTGTTATCTGAAAGAAGCTCCAAGACATGGTATTTTGTACGAAAATCATAGACATAATAATATTGAGTGCTTCTTTGATGTAGATTAGGCGGGTTCCAAGATAGATAGGAGATCCACTACGGGCTACTATGTTCTTGTTGGTGGAAATTTGGTCTCATGGAAAAGTAAGAAGCAAACTATTGTGTCCTAATCTAGTGCAGAGTCGGAATATAGGGTTATGGCCCAGTTTGTGTGTGAAGTAATATGGATATATCAGTTTTTGACTGAAGTTGGCCTTATGGCCTCTTTGCTAGTGAAATTGTGGTGTGATAACCAAGCCGCTCTTCATATTGCTTCTAATCCCGTATTTCATAAACGAATTAAGCATTGAAATTGACTGTCATTTCATTCGTGAGAAAATACAACAAGATTTAATCTCTACAGCATATGTGAAAACTGGAGAGCAACTAGGAGATGTTTTCATTAAAGCTTTGAATGGGGTTCGGATTGATTATATTTGTAACAAGCTGGGCATGATTAACATCTATGCTCCATCTTGAGGGGGAGTGTTGTAGATAATCATGCAAAATCTTATAGATACTGCATGATTAAGTGTATAAATCTATAATAAGATATTAGGATTGTAATCAATATATATTAGGAACAAATCTGTAAAATAGGAAGTTAGATTATTCATTTCCTAGATTAGATTATTTGTTTCCTAGATTAGTTCTTTATTTTCCTATATATTGATGTATAATTTGTCAATACAATATAAGAAAATTACAATCAGTTCTCTATTTGTAACAAATACAAAATTCTGGTAATCTTTCAAAACCAACAGTAATTACCGCTGGTTATATAAGAGGTAAACTGATTACCTCTATTTTCTTAGGTATTTTAAGATTACTTGGTAATCTTAATTTTGTTACAATTTTACTACTTATTAATAAAATTTTAGGAATAATGTCCTTGTTTTCAAAACAATTTACAATAAATTTATGGACAATTTTAGCCTTATATTCAATATTTTTAAGACAAAATTACCCTTGTACTTCAAACAAATTACCAAGACCATAGCTACCCGTAGCTACCACCCAAGAGGACTGTCAGTCGCTGTCGGCAATCACCAGAACAGCGCATGGTCGGCCATACGCCGATAAGGCCGTTTTCGAATTTGTGATCCATGGTCGGAAATAGCCAGAGATCTGGTCGTGAAATGGTCGCCTTTTCATGGCTAAAGATCTGGCCTTTTCACGACCAGATCTGTGGCCGTTTCATGACCATATCTTTTTGTTAAGTTTTAAACTTTTTTGGTTACTGCGGTGTTTTAGTTAAATCTGAAATGTAGGAGGTTAAAGAAATGATTCAAAAAATAATATTATATTAAGGTTGCTGGGTTGTTTTAGTTAAGTCTGAAATGTAGGGGGTTAAAAGAAATGATTCAAAAAATAATATTATATTAATATTTAAAAAGGGGACAATTTAGTAATTTATATAACATATCCACCAATTTATTCCTCCTAACCAAACATATTCCCTAAACATTCTCAGTAATGTTCAAGATAATCTATCTTTTAATTAATAGAGTAAACGCCATATTCCCACCCAAGGTTTGACGAAATCCCAAGTTAGTACCATAGGTTCCATTTATTCCAAATTCCCACCCTTAAAGTGACGGAAAAACGTTTGATGTAACGGTAAAAGGGTAAATTGGTCATTTTACATAGGCGGCGCATGTTAGCAAACCACCGCCTGTAACAGTCCTCCGACACACATTAGCAGCCGGCGTTCCTGACGTTTTTCGCTCTTTTTTCGGCAATTCTTCCACCCAAAATCACCCTTGTCACCACCATTTGACTCCTCGCATCCTCCCCTACAAAACCCCTAACCTTTCCAGCCACGGCAGCTCACCGTTTGTCATCCACCACTTCATCGAAAAACGGCCAATAAACACGAACTCTCGGCCAGTGAATGACGATGAAACGGTTGCTAGGGACATAGGGGTTTTATAGATTTGGAGACGGTGGTTGCATTGGTAGTGTCCAATTGGATTTTTGTCGTCGGAATCGACCGGAATTCGGTGAAGAACACCAAAACCGTAAACCTAACGGTGTCGGCGATTGGAAGGGCAAATGAGTCGGGAACCAGAGGGGTTTTGGATGACAGACTACGGGGAAGGTGATGGAGGTGACTAGGGGGTTCGACATCGTCAGAAACAGCCCAAATCGGGCTGTTTTCGACGAGGGTGTGTAGTGACCGAGGTTGTTTTTGATATAATTTGAAAATAAAATGGTAAGTTTATAATTTTACTAATTTAGGGGTTAAAACATAATCTACTAATTTAGGGTTAAGGGCATTATGGTAATTACACTCTCTAAACACTAAAAATTCATAACACTGTTACTTTAAGGGTAGGAATCTAGAATAAATGGAACCTATGATACTAACTTGAGATTTTGTCAAACCTTGGGTGGAAATATGTCGTTTACTCTAATTAATATAATATTCCTTGAACTAAATGGACTCAAAGTGTTTACCAATATTACCCCTCAACATTTGAATTGGGCGCCTGTGGCTAACAAAAGAAGAGGGCGCATAACAATTTAAACTATTCCCAAAACGCACACTTCCACACTCCCTCAAAATGTTGGCTACGGACCTCTCTTCTTCTTCTCTAACACTTCTCTTATCCATAAAACAAAACTTCCCAATTCTAACCTCTCAATTCCTACTTTCTCCTTCAAAATCTCCTCGTCTCTTTAATTCTTCTCTCTTTCTCTCTAAAAATGCCGTCACCATTCGACCCCGCTCCCGAGTGTTTTCTCAGACGCAGACCGAGTTGGAATTGGCCACCAAAGTTGGACAAGACCGTCTCTTAAAGGTATTTTCTTGTGTTTTCTATGTTTAGGTTGTTTGGTTATAAGAGAAGAGTTAAAACTAACACAATTGAGTGCAGGTTCCTGCGTCGAACATAAGGAATTTCTCCATTATTGCTCATATTGATCACGGGAAATCAACTTTAGCTGACAAATTGCTTCAGATGACTGGTACGGTTCAGAAACGAGAAATGAAGGACCAGTTTTTAGATAACATGGATTTGGAAAGAGAAAGAGGCATCACTATCAAACTACAGGTACTTTACATTTTATTTTCTTTGTACTTTTCAAAAACGAAAATAAGAAGTTTAAATTTTGTGCTTTCAGAATTCGAGAGTGCGTTTGTTATCTTTTCATTTGATTTTAAAAGATTTAAAGTCTCCCTTTTTTTTCAATTTGATTATTTTTTTCCCAGTGTTTGATGGTTCAATTTATTTTCCTATGATTTTTGTGGCAGGCAGCTCGAATGCGTTATGTATATGAAAATGAACCATATTGCCTGAATTTAATTGATACTCCGGGCCACGTGGACTTCTCTTATGAGGTACATGAATGCTACATTTAACTGGCCCCTAAAGTTTGATAATTTATGGACTTTTTTGGGATTTGTTGTTCAATTTATTTCTTTATAGACAATTGCTGGTGATTAAACAGAATGCATATTCGAATTAGTGTGTGTCGACTTGAAAATTTTCAAAGCTTGTCTTTTCTTGGGCAAATTTCTAGGTCTAAAGTTAAACTGAAAACTGCTTCTTGGTAGGCATATCTTCTGTATATATGAGTTTATTTGGCCTTTAAGTGTTTGAATTTGAAAGTTTTGGTTTTCTAGCTGATAATGATCCAAGCTGTTACCTTTCTTTAATTGAGCTTTAATTAGGGCGTGTGGTTGGATTGAAGAAGCTTTCTAGGGTAATTATGGCCTTCCTTGCAAACAAAAAACAAGAGTAATGCTAGCCTTACTCACTCCCCCCACTCACTTCTCTTACTCACCTTTGTTAAAATGTTAGCCTTATCCACTTTTTCACTTTTTTAACAAAGCTGAGTAAGCGAAGTGAGTAGGGGGAGTGAGTAAGGCTAGCATTATTCAAAAAACAAAGGGGCACTTAGTGGGGAGTTGTGAAGTATCTAAATAAAGCATTAATGAGTTTGGGGATAGGCTATCTGAAAGCTAAAATAGTGTTTCAACGCCAAGGTTTAAAGACTTCTTAGATAACATAGCATTTTGTTTTAGCTCTGTATTGAAACTTGTAATGTTGCTTTGTTTTGGAAAGTCTTATGGCGAGTTGTTTGCCTTTTCCCTTTTTTTCTTGGAGTTCACTGTTTTCTGCCCTAATCTCCCATATAATCTTCAATGTTTAGTTCCTTCTCAAGCTTACTGTTTTCTTATTGAACCTAAGACAATCAAGTTGAGGACCCTTTTGGTGCAGTAATTTGAATTACAGTTATTTAAAGGAAGTTTTGGGCTAGCTGAATGAAGTTGAAAATTTTCGAGTTTCTTGATCTTACAAAAAAAAAAAAAAAAAAAATGTGAGTGAGGCAAGCATCGATGCTCTGCTTCAGTTAGGAAAAGAGAAAATTCAGAACTGATTGAAGATGCAGTGGTTGATTCCAATTCTACAAATGTTTATATTTTGGCTACTATACCTGCCACATTGTAGGATGCATCCATAAGAATTTTTGCTCATGAAAATTTTCCCAGTATCCTTATAAAAGACATAAAACAAAAACTGGGTCTTATAGTCTCAGAACTACAAAATGTTTAGATGTTCATTTTCTAAGTTCTTATTTTATGAATTTTATTTTCTAAACACTTTGGATTTCTTAAGCAGGTTTTAATATATGAGATTCATGCTCTAATCTCCTTAGATACATAATCCCTAAGCTTCACAAGGCCCATAAATTCCTGCATGAGAGAGTTGATGTGTTTAAATTCCATACTTGACGTCGTGTGCTATAGCAATTTTAGGAGTCATGGTTAGACTCACAATACTCACATGCATGTTTAGACTTCAAAATCTTCCAACACTAAATTTACACACAACTGTTAACAGACCGAAAGTTTAATCCATATGGTTGACTCAATTCAGTCTTTCCTGAATCTAGAGTAGCAGAGATGCCATAGTTTATTGGGCACTTCTATTTTAAATTTGGTGTGTAGGGCACTTGAGAAAATGTCCATTCCATATTTCCTTCACAATTGACTAGCAGTTACAAAAAACTGTTTGTCTTAAATATTTGTAATGTTTGAGGGTGCTATGTGAAATTTATTATGAAACTTTCACATATTTGAATGCTTGGTACCCTCTTAGTTTCTTTAATTCTTCTATAAGAAAACAGACAGCTGTTCATATATAATACATTAATGGATACATTTTTTAGCACAAACTTTTATAGAGTTGTCAATTGATAACTCATGCGTGTGTGGTAACATGATATTTGTCTCCATGTCTACAAATTACAAGGATTTTGACATCACTTCTTTTTCTATGCATCAAAAGAGAAGTACCTTCCATCCCCATTCTTTCAAACACAGCACACTTCTTTCCTCTGGTTTGCTTTTTGGTAATCCCTTAAATATTTTTTTGATTTTTAACCCTTACTAGAAATATTAGCAGCGATATCAAATTAGAAAAGGCATGGAGTGGCTTTTGAAAGGTGAGAGACATTTTCTTATTGACTCTCAGTTCTGTAAAGTCTTGGAAATCTTTACATCTCTGAGCTTTATCATGAGGAAGTGAGAAACTAAATTGCATGCAGAGAATAATTTTTTTTTTCCTCCTTGAGAAAACTAGTTCATCAACAATTTGTTTCCTCTTTGAGGAAACTAGTTCCTCTATTTCCTTTCAAAAAGTTTTGTTGCCTTATGTGCATCTTTTCTCATGGACAAGCTAGACTAGTTATGCTTTCTCTGGCTGTCTTCTTCTTCTTCTTCCTTTTTCTTAAATTTTTGCCGGTGAGTGAATATTAGGGTATCCTCTAATTATACCTTAACTAGTTTTTGTGATTTCATATATAGGTTTCTCGTTCGCTTGCTGCATGTGAGGGTGCTCTCCTCGTTGTAGATGCTTCGCAGGTGGTCTTTTATCTACTTTGTACTTAGCACATGTTTCTAATTAAAATATTACTGTTTAAAAAATGAAATTATTGATGATGTGCTTGTCATTGTACTATTCGTATTATGGAGAGAAGCTATTTGTTGCCAAATGCATATAAGCTTCCCTACTGGTCCCACAAGTGTTGCCGTTACTACTACTGAACACTTCAGTGGCAATATTAAGTGTGTTAAAACTGTCTATTATATTGTAGGGAGTGGAAGCACAGACCCTGGCTAACGTTTATTTGGCTTTGGAAAACAATCTTGAAATTATTCCTGTAAGTGTTGATATTTTGTCTTTTCTGCCTTGTATATTACCTACAAGTTTGGTATCTTTCTTTTTAGCTCCTCAAACACTGTAATAATAACACCGAATGAATTCTGAATCAAACTTTTAGCTTTAGAAACCATTAAGGAAACTCATGAAGATGCTGGCAACAGGGAGCAATGTATATGTTCTTTTTAATTAATTTAATGCAAACTGTTTTCTGAACCAATGTTTTCTCACTTTTTTTTTTGTTTGTTCAGTTTATACTTTTCACTATGTATGAATTCGTCATCTGTTACAGGTTTTGAACAAGATAGATCTTCCTGGTGCTGAACCAGATCGAGTTGTTCAGGAGATTGAAGAGGTTGGTGCACAAAAAGCAGGGTTTCATTTGCTTAATGGGTGTGTAGTTTACATTAGTCTATGCTGTTTTTAGAAGTGGTTGGTATTGCTAGAGCTAGTAGTTATTTCCTATCTTAACTTCAAGATTTTGGCTTTGACCATAATAAGCTGTTATAATTGTTTTGTTGTCAAAATACTATTCTCAGGCTCTTTTATGATTTCAAGCTTTTAGGATTATTGACTATTCAGCAAAATATAAGGGCGTATTGCACAAAGAGATCTTATGCTTGAATTGTTAAAAGGTTTCCACTTCTTTTTTCTGTTTTCACTAAAATTAGGAAGGGGTTTTGGGTTGATTTAAAGCTATTGGAGTAGAACTTTTAGTTGTTTTAGCATTTTTTTTTTTTTATTTTCTTAGTGAGTCAATGTCATATCATATAGATCCTTTTAGTGGACGACACTCTTTTGTAATTAATCTTTTTAACCAATGATATTCTCTTTGTTTCCTCTAAAATAAAATTAAAACAGAAGCGAGATGGACATATGTTTTGTTCCATGTGACAAGCTTGTATTTTAAACCATCAAGGTGAGGGGTCATGTTAGAATCTGAGTGCAATTATTGATAGGTCCCTTCTTATATGCATAACTTTTGTGATTAGTGGTTCTTTGAAATTTTAAAAAGGATGTTACCAGTTTGTCTGATTGTTATTCCACATTCTAAACACATTAATTTCTCTAGCAGCTATCTATACATATATGTCATTGAATAGTCTCTGATCCCTCATTTTGAGGCATCAAGAGTTATTTGGAATCTAAAGCCACAACCATGGTAAAGGTGTTAGCTTGAATTGTCGCTCTTAGAAAAGTGAACACAAATGATATGATTTGGAGGAGACAACCTTTTTTTTATCTCCAGATTGGTGCCAGTTTTTTCTGTTTAGGTTTGAAATTATTATGAAAATCATGCTTGTTCTGTGTAGGTTGTTGGGCTAGATTGTAGTGATGCAATTCTTTGCTCTGCAAAGGTTAGTTCATGGCATTGGCTCTAATGTTGACTCATGCCTCGTTTATGTACTAATGAAAGTTGGTAGAAAAGAGCTTCAGTAGTTTTACATATTTCATATTTATGTGGTCTAACGTTCTTTTGCAGGAGGGGATTGGTATAAATGAAATTCTGAATGCAATTGTTAAAAGGATTCCGCCACCTTTGGACACAGCTGAATGTCCGTTAAGGGCTTTAATATTTGATAGGTATAGATCTGACTTAGTCCTCATCACAACCTTTGAAACTTAGCTGAATTTTTATTAACCTCAGCCCTCTACTAGTTGGTTGGTTATATGAACTGTTTTTCCTCTGATTTTTCATATTCTATTTGAGAATGACTTGTTGCCATCATTTACATATTACTGTTTTGTATACTTCTGCAGTTACTATGATCCATATCGTGGAGTGATTGTATATTTCCGAGTCATTGATGGAACTATGAAGAAAGGTGACCGCATTTATTTTATGGCGAGTCAGAAGGTGGAGTGCTCTTTCTCTTGTATAGTTTTCCTTCTAGTTTGAAGATTTGATGAGATCACCTTATGTTAAAAGCATAGGATCAACTTTTATGGAACCCCTGAGGTTTAGTGAAACATCAATACCCCCAAATGGTTTTGAAACCATCACAAAAACCCTTGTTGCTTGCTTTCATTTTTGTTAAGTCACTATTTATCCCAGTCATCATGTTGAAATGCCTGTATTAACCCAGCATTTATCCTTAATGATGAGCTAATATATGGAACTGATATTTTAGATGATTAATACTAGGATTTTTACATTTGTTATGTTTGATCTATGGTTCATATATTCCTTTGCAATGTACGAGGTTATATAATGTAATGATATCTTCTTTTTGATTTTTTATATTACCATATGATATTTTTAAGCAGCAAAAAGATCCAACATATATTTGATGAATTATTGGAATAATAATTGGATTAAATTCTTGAAATTATTTAAAATTGGATTGTGGTGAGATATACTGAAATATATGTGACGTAACACTTAACATTTAATTGCCATTTGGCCTACTGGTTCAGAGGACATTTTGCCACATGCAGGTCCTGGATTTGAGTCCTAGTTACTGCAGAACAATCAATTCAGTATTTTAGCCCTTCATTAAGGTTAAAATAATAATTTCATAGTCATTTCTGTGTCTTGACTACGCTAAATAGTGATCTGACATGCAAGGTCACAATAAGGGGTTTTGTGATGGTTTCTAAATATTTGGGGGTCCTCTAATGTTTTGTTAAACCCTGAGGGATCCATGAAATTAATCCAAAACTAAATTGGCTTAACATTGGTTTAGACATGCTACTTTTTTCTCACTTGGTAAAATAAGTTTACAAATGTATGAAGAAAAGTTATTAATTAAGGATGATAATTGACTCTGCTTAAGGTCTTTTTTTGGTTATGTTTATTTTGTTTTTGGATGGGTGATGATTAATTATACTTTGATCGATTGCTTGTGTCAATCTTGTAATAGTTTTAATTAAAACTTCAGGATTATTATGTTGATGAAATTGGTGTTTTATCTCCTAATCAATTGCAAGTGGAGGGACTTCAAGCTGGTGAGGTAAAATTTTATTTATTTATTTGTTTCTCTAGATGTGTTGTTATAACTTTTTATAAAGTTTATTTATGGTCTCCTCCTTTTTTTTTTCCCTCAAACAGATAGAATACACAACACAAGGATGTGCACATGTGTGTGCACGTGCATACTAGTGAGAAAGAGATATGTATGCGTGCTATGATAAAGTTTGAGTAGAAAGCAAAACCTTTTCTTCTTGTTTTTGCTTTTATGGGGAAATGAATAAGGAAATAAACTCAGACCTAAAGATTTACGCTAGGAAGGCAATTCAAGAAATTAATAATATAAAAAAAAAAAAAAATTGTTAAAATCACGAAAAGATAAGGTTATAAATATTGATTGATGATATATATATTTCTTGTTGCTCACATAGAAATCTTTGCCTAATAACCTTATTATTGCTGAGACTTTAAGTATCTTTTTTAATATTTATTCAATCAACTATTAATATCCCATTCAATTATGTATTCATAGTAGAACAGACTCTGATTATAATGACAATTGCAGTTGATATGATTTTTTCACATCTCTATGTGGTCAGCCTTACTGGTTAGATCTTCTATAATGAAGAAGTTCAGGGATCAATCTTCACACACACACACAGACATACTAGTGGGGGCTTTGCAGTTCATTAAACATAGTATGATCCAAATGCAAGGGTCTATGTAAATGTGATATCTTATGAAAACTTGCTAATGAGTGATATTGAAATTCAATAAAATCCTATCTAATAAGCCAGATGGAATATCTTTTCTGACAAGTAACAAGCGTAATTTTCCTGTTGCGATGCATAGTCTATTCATATCAGAACTTTTAATACTTTTTGCATAATCATATTGTTAAGGTTTAGGTTGGAAAATGAATAGAGATGAAGAAAAGTAGAGTGCATACCACAAACTTATGGTAGCTCCTCATGTATATTATTGAAGATTAGAAAAGTTAACTGAAATGCCTTTGCATCATATTAATGAATGTGAAACATACTGTAGAAATTTCAACCTATGTAATATCAATATCCAAACTTTTGAGTTTTTGGTTCTTCCATGTAACTGGGCCTTTATTGTAGGTTGGCTATCTTTCAGCTTCTATAAGATCTGTAGCAGATGCTAGGGTCGGTGACACTATTACTCATTTTAGTAGAAAGGCAGATAACTCACTTCCTGGATACGAGGAAGCCACTCCAATGGTATTCTGTGGCCTATTTCCAGTTGACGCAGACCAGTATAATTCTCTTGCTTTTTCTATTTTGGCTTTCTGGGCCTATAGGGTGAAATTTTGTTAATGCCAATGTCTCTAGCATCAGTTATCCTTATCTTTTGTTGGCAGGTTCGCAGATTTGCGTGATGCGTTGGAAAAACTGCAACTTAATGATGCTGCACTGAAGGTACTAAATCCCCAATATGTTATATAAAGGACAGTTATTTTCGAGTATGTCCATTTAATGTATTCACATTAACAACTTTTCTTTGTTTGGTCAACTTTTATCAATTGCAAAGCAGTTTCTGAATTTTCGATGGTGAAAACAATAACTAGTTTTGGTTGGTTTAACAAGTTCAATACTGAAATTGATATACTCCCAATATATCTTGAATTTAAAACTTCTTCAAGGATTAATTGATTAATTGGTAGGTGGACGGTTTTGTGGGTACAGTTTGCTTTCAATAGTCTTGTGAGTTTAAGTTTCTAAACAATTTTAGAATACTTCTTTTCACTTTATTCAGAGAGACTGGAATGCTGTCTTTGTTATTGTGTTCATAAATATCTCTCTGGTATTGTTGGATAATTGAGATGCTGGTTCACTACTTTGTATGTCATTCTTTCTTTTTTTTGGGTAAGAAACTATTTAATATCTATTAACAATAAGAGTTATACAAAAGTGAACAAACAGTCTACTAAAGGAGGACAAACTTGACACTATTTGGTATTCATTTCATTTATTACATTAGTTTCATGTTGTAATTGGTTGGTCAATTATAAAATGGGGGCTTGGGATGATATTTATGCTAGCCAATAAGGTGCAATGTGCAGAAAAATATTTAATTTCAGCTCAAATACAAGGATTTTGGAGTGATTTAGGATACAGATTACCAATTTAAAGAGAGAAAAAAAGAGAAACATGGGTGAATTCCTTTAAGAAATGGGAGGGAAAGAGATAGGAGGAGCTTTCTTGAATTAAGGAATATGCAGAAGTTATTGATCTGTGTTTTTCTATTTCATTAGTTCTTTTGCCATTACCATGATTTATGGAAAAAAAAGTAAGGCATTTCGACTTCTCTTGTGAAGTTAATCATGTGAATCACTAGCGTAGTGTTGTGTGTTTGAAGTTTAAATTAGGCTTCAGAACACTATTTCTTTTGTTGAGACTATGAAAAGTGTTTGCCTCTTTATTTTATTATATTTTTTGTTTTTCCATTAAGTCCTCACCTATGAAAAATTAATTTTCCTTTTTAGTAGAAACCTTCTTAAAAGCACTTATTTAGGTGGTTTTCCTTGAATGTTGAATTGCTATGTGATAGAAACCCACTCCCAAATTGATAGAAATTGGGTTAGGAAGTGGGCCTTTAATAGAATTGGGTTGGGCAGTGGTCTTTTTGTGGGCTTGGGTAGAACTCTCCTTGGAAAACCGGTTGGCCAAGAGAGGGTGCCCAAGCCCTTTATAACCCACATGCCCACCCTTTTCCCTTCCAATGTGGCAAACCGGTTTTTCAAGGAGAGTTCTACCCAAGCCCACAAAAAGACCACTGCCCAACCCAATTCTATTAAAGGCCCACTTCCTAGCCCAATTTCTATCAATTTGGGAGTGAGTTTCTATCAAATGGTATCAGAGCATGATCCTACGCTCACAAGATGTCGCCTATGTGGTAGGCTGACTTGTGCAGGCTGACCTTAGGCCCGAGTTGCTACCATGAGAAAGGGCATGGAGGCCCAAGGGAAATGGGGATTCACGTAGTCACCTAAGGGGTAAAGAGGTTGACGTTGACATCGGTTGCGGAAGTGTGGTGGAATATTAGGATCCCACATTGGAAGGAAAAAGGATGGGCATGTGGGTTATAAAGGGCTTGGGTACCCTCCCTTGACAAGCCGGTTTTTCAAAGAGAGTTCTATCCAAGCCTATGAAAGACCCATTGCCTAGCCCAATTGTTTGAGGAGTTGGAGTGAGTTCCTATCACTGTGCCTTTTGATATAATAATTAGTCTCAGGAGATTTTATGTTTTCAGATGCACATGGAGGCTGTTGTTAAAGCTTAATCCTCACTAGTTTTAAACATTATTTTTCTGTCACTTTTCTTAGTGATTTGAGTTGAACTCATAAACCTTTTCATTCATGTCCAGTTGCAATAAGAATGCAAGATATTGCTATTAGCTCATTTTTTGATCAATTACTAAAACGATGTATTGCTTTATTTTGTTCTGCTGTTAACCTTGCAGTTTGAGCCTGAGACTTCAAGTGCCATGGGTTTTGGCTTCAGATGTGGGTTCTTGGGTCTTCTTCACATGGAAATTGTTCAGGTCTGCCCTCTTTTTAACTTTCCTTGGCATTTATTCAGATTTTCTTTTTTCTGCTTCCCACGATTTGTAGTGCTGGAGAATTTGGACAGTAAGTACTGACCCTGAGAAATTTTATGTTACAGGAAAGGCTCGAGAGGGAATACAATCTGAGCCTAATAACAACTGCCCCAAGTGTTGTGTACAGAGTGAACTGTGTAAATGGTGATACTGTAATTTCTTCTAGATCCCAAACTCACTTATTTGGTTACTTTCTTGCATTTTTAAATGTCACACAGATTTTGATGTTTATGGTATTTGCGTTTACGCATAGCAACTTGAGGATCTAGGGAGAAGCTTAAAAATTCTGATTAAGAAGAGCCAAATCTGCATTTTTATGATTCATTTCCTTTATTAAAATGAATGAAATTATAAGAAGGCTGATACATTTTGCAAAACTAAGGTCTAATTTCTCAATGCATGAAAGCATCCTTATTTTATCTTCTTTTTTTTTTTTTTTTTTTTTTTGTGTGTGTTTAATCGGGCTGTCTTAACATATACTTTAACATGAAAAAGTGTGAACTTTAGTAGTATAAGATTGTCTTCATTTGATGATAAGACAGATGGCAGCCTTTTACACTGTTTTTGAATCAAATACCAATATCATCACCCTTCACTATAATCCAGCACATGCGTTTCTAAATTAATATCTTTTCTAGACTTGTTTAAGAAAACCAAACTAAAATTTTTGGGTGTTGATGCACTATAGAATTAATGCGGCAGACAGCTTGTTAAAAGTTTGTTCTTGGATTAGTTTCCTGAAGATGTGGAGTGCTCAATAGATTAAGAGATGAAGAGAATTTGTATTACTGAATTTACATTTTTTTTGGGAGTTTGGAATTTGGCTTTGGAAGGTGTTGAGAAGTTGGATGTGGTTTTGGGTTTGGGGGATATTTGTGCGAGTTTTTCCAAGAAGAATGCTTGGTGGGCTTTGATGATATTGGTGATGCAATAGGTGATGACAATTTGGATTGCTTGGTTGCAATGTAGGTGATGCAGTGGGTGATGAAATGAATTATACAGTGAGTGATGATGTGGGTTTGCTTTAGATTTGGCTGCCACTTGCAGAGGATTTGTTTATAAGAAATAAGTGGGGTTTTAATATGGAATTTAGATTTTAATCGAAAATGAATTATATCAGTCAAGTTTGTCATTTTATTTTTTTTAATAAAATCCATAATATTTCATTTATAGAATTTTTTTTATATTAATTAATCATATTTTATTATAATTGAATAAGACAAGGGCATTTTAGTCTTTATGTCAAATATTACTTGTCAGATGACATATTCTATTAATGTCATGACAATGTCACTTTCAGGAACCCTTAGGACAATTATAATTTCCCAATTAGTAAATAAAATTTTCCTTGGTACCTACCACCATCTGCTTTAATATGATACATTTTTTTCCCAACCAATATTGTTGCATTTTTATGTAAACTCCCAGTCAATCTAGTTTCTTTGAGAAGATCAAGAATATATATTTTCAGACAAACAAATTTTTCTTGAATGTGGTATCTTTGTTAGAGGACTTAAATGTTAATATTAGATCCTTGATAGATTATGTGTTGTATAACATTATCTTGGGGCAAAATATTATGAGTTCAAATCTCCTACATGTCACCTGCCTAGTATTTGTATTTGCATTTGTTCTTTGTTTGTGTCTTTGGTTTGGTCCTCTCTTCAAATTTTGTTGTCTTTGGGTTGGTCCTCTGTTTGAATTTGATTGTCTTTGGGTTGATCTTCTGTTTGGATTTGAGTATCTCTGGGTTGGTCCTCTGTTTGAATTTGAGTTTGTTCTAAAACTCATGTGAGACCTGTTAGAGGTCTTATATATTAATGTTTAGCCCTAGTTTAATAGTTCAAGCTTTTGGGTGTAGTGATGATTTAACACTAGCAATATTCAAAAGAACTTAAGTCTTCCAACATCATATTTTTTCAAATTTTTGGCAAGATAGCTTTTTAATTTCTCAATTTCTTCTAAATCATCTCTAAGGACATTAATATCTGGTGAAAAAAAAAAAAAAAAAAACAGTATAGCCTATTAGATTTAATAGACTAAGGACTAAAATTACTCTGAACCCCATTGGAGCCATGATTTCTTAAGGAGAAATGAGGGAAAAAGCAAAACCAGAAGAATATTTGATAATTCTGAGAAAACACTGATATTTTACTGCTAGAAATTTGATTTCATGAGTGAACACTTCTCTCCTTTTATAGCACTAGCATATTACAATATTCTGGATCACTTTTCCCTCAAGTCCTTTGGCCTGGGGATGGAACCTCTTTGCTGTCACTGCTGTCCAGTTAGTTGCATCCAAACATGCTTATTCTAATGAATGGCAGAAGTGTCCTCTTGCGTCCAAACATAAACTTTTGGAAAAATAAGTTCAAGCCCTCAGCTGGAGGTTAATTATCTTTCAGATCCTCTTCCATCAGTGGAGGGGTATATTGGTCAGTTCAGAGTTCCCAAAACACGTGTGATACTCTAATAGGTGGCATATTTTCGGTACCTACAAGGTTGTTGGCTCCCCATGAGAAGAATTCTTATGAACATTTCGCCACTGATACGGTGAATCTACCGAATCACACTAGGAGTTAGTTGCAAAGACTAGTCAATATTATTAGCTAGAGACAATATAACTCAAATAGTATGCCTCTTTGGCACTGAAGCAAAGCTTTCCTCATACTCTATATTATAAGCTTGAGTGAAACCCTTAGCTACCAATCTGACCATTTATCTTTCTAATGTTAGTCTGCTTTATATTTGAAGTAAAGACCTATTAAGCCCAATATGTCTATATATATGTATGTATATGTCTTATTAATTTTATATTTCTTCATTGCCATACTTCTTGATATTCTTGAAGGTTGAGTGCTCAAATCCGTCTTTGCTTCCTGAACCTGGACAAAGGAGGTCAATTGAAGAGCCGGTTGTTAAGGTTGTATCTTGGACAATAGATAGTCGTTCATTTATTGTTAAATTATCCCAGATAAAACATTATTGTTGAGGCTTTGAAAGTTATGTAAATTTTTGTTTTATTTAATGTGGTACAGATTGAGATGCTTACACCAAAAGACTATATTGGTTCACTCATGGAGCTAGCACAAGATAGAAGAGGAGACTTTAAGGAAATGAAATTTATTACAGAGATTAGAGCATCTATCACTTATGAATTACCCCTTGCTGAGGTAACCTCTTGCCATTTGTTTTTCCGTTCCCTTGATCTACCCATATGAAGTTAACTATTCTCTTATTTTGGGCTTTGCTTATTTATTTGTTGTCACTGTCAATAGAAGGCCATAAATTATGCCATAAATTCAAACCATTTGTTATGGTATCAGAGCCATTCTCTAGAAATCTCAGTCCTAGTTTTCTCAGCCATAGCCTTAGTTATTTATGGAGAAGTCAGATAATGTTTGTGTCAGATTCACTGGCAAAAATTATGCTGCTTGGGAGTTTCAATTGGAGACCTTCTCAAGGGTAAAACGCTGTGGGGACATATAGATGGCAGCAGCAACGGGGGATCTACTGCAGAAATGTCGTGGCTGACAGAGCACTTGGGATGCCAAAGTAATCAATCATGTCCTGGATTCTGTGGTCTATGGAGCCACATCTGATTCTCTCTCTCGTCCTCATAGGTCTGCAAAAGCTATGTGAATTATCTCAAGCAAGTCTATAAACAAGACAACAATGCTAGGCGCTTCCAGCTTGATTTGGCCATTGCTAACTATACTCAAGGGGATCTATCAGTTCAAGACTACTACTCTGGTTTTCTGACGTTGTGGAATGACTATTCCGACCTTGTTACACCAAGGTCCCTGCAGAAGATTGGAGGCAGTACAACTTGTACACAAAACCAGCCAAAAACCAATTTCTAATGAAATTAGGCCTGATTTTGAATCTATTCGTGCCTCTCTAGTTAATAGAGATCCTGTTCCAACTTTGGAGGCCTGTTTTGGAGAACTCTTGCGTGAGGAACAACGCCTCAATACTCAGAATATTATGGAGCAGTCTCGTGTTGCTTCTAATACTGTCTCTGTTGCCTATGCTGCTCATGGCAAGGGGAAGGGTCGTGCATGAGCACCACACAGTGCTATGTTGCAAGAAATATGGCCATATTGCTCCTACTGTCCTCAGAAATTTTGTAATTACTGCAAGCAGCCAGGGCACATTATTAAGGACTGTACTATTCGTCCTTCACGCTCCAACAAGGTCTATCATGCTGTTGTTACTGGTGACTTACAGCCAGCTCTGCCTGCTGCTACTGCTGCGCCACGTCTGCTGTTGCTTTACAGCCTCCAGCACCTTTTCTAACTAGAGAAACAGTGCAAGAAATGATTGTGAGTGCATTTTCAGCATTGGTTCTTCAAGGTACTGGTTCTTCCTCTCCCCTTGGATCTTAGACTCAGTGGCTTCTAATCATATGACTAATTCTCTCCATGGTTTAAGTAATGTCAGAAATATTGTGGCTCTCACATATTCAAACAGCCAATGGTACTGCTCTACCCATTGGGGCAGTTGGTGATGTATCTCTTCCTTTAAGGATGTTCTTGTATCACCTATCTCTCTCTCTGTGAATTTAGTTTCTGTTGGCCAGCTGGGGACCAAAATTATGATGTACATTTTACTCATGGTGGTTGTGTTGTGCAGGATCAGATGTCAGGGCAGTTGATAGCGAAGGGCCCTAAGCATGGACGTCTCTTTTCTCTACAATCCCTGTCCACAAAGCTTACCTTCTTTCTCTGTACTATCTTTGCTTTGTAATAAGTCTAGAGTGTCAAATGAAGTCTGGCATAACGTCTTGGTCATCCTAATTCTAGGATTCTATCTTATTTGTTGAATCTGGTTTATTGAATAATAAGAGCACTCATCTTCCACTGTGTTTCCAGATTGTGCACTTGTAAACTTGGCAAAAGTAAGATTTTACCCTTTCCTTCTGAAGGAATTAGAGCCACCCACAGTTTTGAGATCATTCATAGTGATGTCTGGGGTATTAGTCCTATTATTCTCATGCCCAACACAAATATTTTGTGACATTTATCGATGACTACAGCAGATATACATGGGTGTATTTCTTGCGGCACAAATCAGAAGTTTTTCATATGTTCAAATTGTTCTTAGCTCTTGTTGACACTCAGTTTTCAGCTGCTGTTAAAATTCTTCGGTCCGACTCGGTGGGGAATATATGTCACATGAGTTCCAATCTTTCTTGCAATCTAAGTATTATCTCTCAACGTTCTTGTCCATATCACTCACAACAAAATGAGTAGCTGAACGAAGAATCGTCATCTTTTAGATTTTGTCCGGACAATGCTCATTGAGTCTTGGGTTCCTCCTACCTTTTGGAGAAGCACTTACCACACAACCTTTCTTATAAATAGCTTCCTTCCCAAGTTTTGGATTTCGAGTCTCCATATTTCAGGCTTTATCATCAAATCCTACCTATACAAATTTTCACATTTTTGGGTGTGTATGCTTTATGCATCTTCCTCCACCGGACAGAAACAAACTTTCTGCCCAATCCATCCGTTGTGCCTTCTTGGGATATAGTGTCACACAAAAGGGTTATTTATGCACGATCCAAACTCTAATCGGGTTCGTGTTTCAAGGAATGTGATTTCTTTGAAAATCAATGGTTTTTCCTATGTCTTCCTCACTAGAGTCTTCCATTGCTTTCTTGCCTTCTTTTGATGACACTTTTAGTGCTCCTAGTACTCAGATTGAAGGTTCCAGCCGGCATGGTATCCCAGCGAGACCTCCATGCTGCCCCCTTCTGCTCCTGTCTTGCCATCTGCTCCTTTGCGCCGCTCCTCTAGATTACGGGTCCTCCTGACCGTTATGGATTCCCGTCACTTATAACAGGTACTACTCTTCTGCACTGTCTGCCACTCTATCTTCTATTGCTATTCCTACTGGTTACTCACAGGCGTTAAGAGAAATGCTGGCAGCAGGCCATGCAGGAGGAACTATGTGCTCTTGAGGCTAATAACTGGGAAGTGGTGGTTGTCCTGCGGTGTGACCCACTTGGATGTAAGTGGTCTATTCTATTAAGGTTAAGTCTGATGTAGTTTGAAAGGTACAAAGCCCGCTTAGTAGCTCTTGAATAATCAAGAAAACGGAGTAAATTACGAGGAAACTTTTGCTCCGGTGGCCAAAATGACCACCATTCGCACAATTTTGGCTATTGCCGCTTCTCAAAATTGGGGTTTGCACCAAATGGATGTGAAGAACGCCTTTCTTCACGGGGATCTCAAGGAAGATGTTTATATGCGTCCCCTGAGTTTACTTTCCACCCCTACTTCAGCAGTGTCAAGTTGCGTCGCTCCTTGTTGGTCTCAAACAGGCCCCTCGTGCATGGTATGAGAAATTTACTTCTACCCTACTCAAGTTTGCTTTTCTCAAAAGCGTAGGATGCATCTTTGTTTCTTCGCAAAACTGAGATTGTGGTTTCATTCTCTTGGTGTATGTTGACGACATATCATCACGGGTACTGATTCGGTTCTGATCTCCCAATTAAAGCAGTATTTACAGGACTCTTTTCACATGAAGGATCTGGGATCTCTTACGTTTTTTCTTGGTTTAGAAATTACTGCTGGTTCACATGGTATTTTCCTGTCACAGCACAAGTATGCCCAGGATTTGGTGGCTGCTGCAGGTCTCCAGGACTCTACCCTCTTGATACTCCCATGGAACTTAATCTCAAGTTGCGCAAAGAAGAGGGTAACTTGTTATCAGACCCTGTAGCCTATCGTACGCTGGTTGGCCGCTTGGTCTATCTTACAATTACTAACCTGATATTTCCTATGCAGTCCAACAAGTTAGTCAGTTCATGGCTTCTCCACGACACCTTCATATGGCTGCGTTCGACGATCATTCGCTATGTCCATGGCACAGCTTTGCGGGCTTTCCTATCCTCCTGGTACTTCACTTGATCTTGTAGCATATAGTGATGCTGATTATGCCGGGTGTAGTGACACTCGACGTTCTATTACGGGTTTGGTGTATGTTTCTTGGTCCAGCTCTTATTTCTTGGAAAAGCAAGAAACAGGACCGTGTTTCTAAGTCCTCTACTGAGTCAGAATATAGGCCATGTCCCAAGCTTGTGCTGAGATACTTTGGCTCGAGGGCTATTGGCTGAACTTGGCTTCTCTCCAGGGGGTCCTACTTCTCTCAGCAGATAACTAGTGCCATTCACATTCACCAATCCCATCTTCCACGAACGCACTAAACTATCGAGGTTGATTGCCACTTCATCCGTGAGGCATTTGAAGCTCAGACTATCTCTCTTCCTCATGTGTCTAGCAACCTTCAATTGGCAGATTTTCACCAAGGCTCTCAACGGCAACGGCATAATTTTCTTACAAACAAATTGATGCTTATGATAACCCGCATCAATTTAGGGGGGATGTCAATAGAAGGCCATAAATTATGCCTAAATTCAAACCATTTGTTAGTCACTCTGTTCTTTCTGCTTACTTTATTTTATCTTTTGGCAGATGGTGGGTGATTTCTTTGACCAGTTAAAATCAAGAAGTAAGGGATATGCCAGCATGGAATATACTTTTGTCGGGTAAATACATTTTATGTTTATCATTTAATTATAACTTTTAACTGTCATTGAAGTACTATGCATGTTATATATGTATTCGTTATTCAGTAGAACATGTTCAATGCTTTGATGATCCAATATCCCAAGTATTTAGTTTGTGTGGTCATGGTAAGTAATTACAAACTAGGAAACCTATGGCATAGTTGAACTAATAAAGTGATAGGTTGACGAATGTTTAAGACAAGGCCAAAAAGCTATTAAGCTTTTATATTTGATCAGAGTAAATTTCCTTTCCAAGCTAGAGCTATCTCTTACTACAAAAACCTTCAAGAATCCATTTATTGCTGGATACATTTGAACTCTAAGTTTCCCTGTTGCCCGTTGACTGCTTAATGAAGTTTTGTGATTAAAATGTTGTTGCATGATTATCAATCGAATTAGACTTTTTTCGGTTTTAGAAATCAGTTTTCTTTCAAAGTCCCGTTTCTGCATTGGTTTACCCTTTAAGAAATGCAAATGAATGAACTTTGTTTATTTGAAAACAAGAATTCTCTTCATCTTGATTGTGAACATGCTCAGTTTCTTAATGTCAACTGTAGCTTTTTTTTGTTCAAAATTAATCATTCAAGCTTGTATGTAACTGATTATTGCAGCATCTTAGTATGTCTATCACATTTTTCAAGACTTTGTACCTACAATGATGCATGATTTATTCTTAATCTGATTGCCAGGTACAAGGAAAGTGAATTAATAAAGCTTGACATTCTGATTAATGGTGATTGTGTGGAACCATTGGCAACCATTGTGCATAGGGATAAGGTTAGTGTAGTTTTTCCATGTCTTGATCTTCATTTTATTATTATAAATTCTTAAGAAGCTGATGGAAAATAAATGCTTTGTATATTAGCATATGCTTATCTAAAGGAGTGCTGCAAACCTCAGATTAAAATATTTGTTTAAGGCAGATGAGGGGTTCTTGATCATGCGTTTGATCTTGTGTTTCTAATTTTTGTTAGAGATGACAAGATATGAAAAGCTGTGAAAACTTTTAAGAGTTCAGGTTCATTATTATTCATAACAGAAATTTTGAAGATTAACATGAGAAGTAATTAATATAAGTGTGGGATGTGGTTAATACCTGTACACTTTAACGGTTAATGTCAATTAAAATGTTAATATGTTAAAAGTAGCCCGATAGACCAAAGAGCATATGCTCTTTTCAAATTTGAGGATCTAGTGTTGCCCCATTTTACATTGAGATTATGGTTACTATTTGCACCTAATGGGTTTCCTGATAAAACCCCAGGATTAACAAGCAAAAACAACAACAAAATCAGACAAAGTAACCAATTCGCGAGACAGATTTTGGATGGATGAAATGGGATTGATATTAAGAACGGAAATTGGAAAATAGAGTAATTCAGGACTGAAATGAAAGAAAAAAAACAGAAGATAATCCTAGCAGTTCGAGGAGTGGGGACCTCCTGATCACACCCTTACAATTTTTCTACTTTTTAACCAAAAGGCTCTCCCTTTTTACATGAATATCTAACAACTTTATCCTTCTAACTAATTGGTTCACATGTCACGTGCCTCCAGCTTGTTCAAATGTCACCTGCCTTCAGCTTTTCCCACTAAGCATGCTTCTCCCATTCCAACCAAATCTGTTAGTGGCTTTTTACCCTTGTGCCCTCTGTGCTGGTAAACCTTCTTGAAGGTGGTCTATCAATTCCCCCCCTTGAAGAACCCCTTGTCCTCAAGGTGAAAGTGAGGAAATTGAAGAGTGATGGTGTCGGCCACTCCCAGGTTTGCTTAAATGGGGCTAAATCCTTCCGCTTAATAAGGACTTCCTGAGAGCCATTCACTAGTGTGCGGACTGCCAAGAACAGATTCTGGCTGAACCGCAACTCCATGTCCTCTGTGAGGCAGGATGGTAGGGTTGGATAGGGACGAGCTGTGCAGACTGCGCTTGAGTGAGATACATGAAAATGGGATGAAATTTGGCTATGGAGGCAACTCCAGCTTATATGCAACCTGTCCAATTTTTTCCAAAACGGGGAATGGTCCATAAAAACGCGGACTCAACTTTTCATTGAGTTTAGAAGCCAGGGACCTGAAACGGTAAGGCTGAAGCTTCAAAAACAACTGGTCTCCAGGCTGAAAGTTAACATCCCGACGATGGGCATCTGCCTGTGATTTCATATGGTTCTGGGCAGTACTCAGGTTATGTTTCAGTATTCCAAGTGGCGTTCGATAGCCATCTGCTGATTGACTTCTTCAAAACAGTGAAGGATAGTCGGTGAAGCGGGAGAAGAGTGGGTGGGTCACGGCCGCGTAGAGTTTTGAAAGGAGTCATCTTGGTTGCACTATGAAAAGTGGAATTATACCAAAATTCGGCCCATGCTACCACCGTGGCCATTGTTTAGGCTGGTTGCTACAAAAACAACGGAGATAGGCTTTCAACAATGGTTTAACGACTTCGTTTGGGCGTCGGTTTGGGGATGATACGCGGAACTGCATTTCAGCTTGGTACGTGCAGCTTTAAACATTCTTGCCAAAATAGACTGACAAACACGTGATCTCGTTGGATACAATTGAGTTTGGAAACCATGCAGTCGAAACACCTCCGAATAAACAGATCAGCCACGTCCTTGGCCGTATATGGGTGACATAAGAGGAGAAAGTGACCATACTTAGTAATCGATCCACCCGACACAGATCGTGTCGTATCCTTTGGGTTTGGGCAGCCCCCGATAAAATCCATACTAATGTTTCGAATACTGGGTGGGAATGGGCAAAGGTGGAGTTAGCCGCAGGTTTAAGGGTTGAATGTTTGTTCAATTGACAGGTGGCCACTGTTGAACAAAAGTCTGAACATTACTTTTATACCCTCCCAAAAAAAACCAGATTCGTCACTCGTTTGTAGGTTCTAAAAAATCAGAATGACCACCAGCAGGACTGTTGTGGATTCCTCCAAACGTGAATAAATCTAGAAGATTTGGGAATCACAACCTGTTTTTGTAGAGCAGAACGCCGCAGCGGAGACTGTAATGCGGGTGGGACTCTGGGGATCACAAAGCAAATCTGGATGTAGTTTGAAGCTTCTCATCTTGCTGTGCTTCAGCCGCCAGATCATCGAATTCTGAGAAGGTAGCTACAAATACAGCAATGATTCCATGTCTTCTCTGCGGGAGAGGGCATCAGCCACGTGGTTTGAACTACCTGGTTGATACACGATCTCAAGAGTAACCAAGAAGCTTAGAAATCCATTTTGTTGTTCAGGTGTTTTCACCCTCTAATCTGTCAAGAACTACAGACTGCGCTGGTCCGTTTGATAGTAAACTTTTGCCGCTAAGGTAGTGACTCCATTTTGAACCGCGAACACTATGGCCATTAACTCTTTCATATACGATTTTTGCTTGGACTGATAGGAAAATGCTTTACTGATGAATGCTATGGGACGCTGGTTCTGAAGTAAGACAAGCTCCCAATCCTTGGCCCGATGCGTCCTGTGGACTTCAAAAGGAAGATTGAAATCAGGAACATCCAGCACAGGCACGGATGACATGGCTTTTTTCAGGTTATCAAAGGTTGTGGGCTTTGTTCATTCCACCCGAAGACATCTTTCTGCAGTAGTTTAGTTAGTGGCTGAGCTATTGACCCAAATCTTTCACGAATCTACGGTAATATCTTGTTAATCCCAAGAATCCCCGCAACCCTTGATAGTCTGTGGAACAGGCCAAGATAGCATGGATTCAAACCTTGGTTGGGTCTGCCCACCCCTTCCGCCGAAATCAAATGTCGAAATATTCCAATTTCAACTGCCCAAATATACATTTTTCCGTTGACAACCAGCTCGTTGTCGGTCAAAATTTGGAAGGGTTATCGCAAGTGAGTGAGGTGGGCTTCTAGGTTGGGGCTGTAGACTAGGATGTCGTCAAAAATACCAGTACAAAACTTCTTAAAACTGGTCTGAAATGTGTGGTTCATTAGAGCCTGGAAAAGTGGAGGGAGCGTTAGTCAGCCCAAATGGCATGACAGGAATTCGTAAGCCCCTGTGAGTCCGGAAAGCTGTTTTCGGACATCCTCGGCCTAACTCTGATCTGTGATTATTCCGGATTTCAAATCCAACTTAGAAAAAACTGTCGCTCCAGCCAACTCATCTAACAACTCATCAATTGAAGGTATGGGAAATTTGTCGGGTATGGTTATGTTGTTAAGGGCGCGGTAGTCAACACAAAATCGCCAGCTTCCATCTTTCTTTTTAACCAACAACACCGGGCTTGCAAAAGGGCTAACACTTGGTTGGATTATTCCGGACAGCAGCATTTCACCCACCAACCTTTCTATCTCATTTTTTTGAGTGTAGGAATATTTGTAGGGGCGTAGGTTAGGGGGTTTGGAGGATTGTTAGAGGGTTATGGCATGGTCAGTTGGTCTTCGTGGTGGTAGGCAAGAGTGTTGGTCAAACAGTTGGTAGAATTCATTAAGTAATGCAGCAACTTCCGGCTCCATGAGTTCACTCTGCTCTTCGACTTTCCTCTCAATAGAACAAAACTCAACTACATATCCTGCACCCTCCATCTGTAGTGTCTTGAGCATGGCTTTTAGAGATACTACAGTCTTAACTAACGAAGGATCACCTTGCAACACAATTCTCTGCCCGTTACTATCGAACGCCATGGTTAAATTTTTCCAGTTAGAGCACACATCTCCCAACGTGCTCAACCAAGATATCCCTAACACCACATCAGCTCCACCTAAATCAAAAGGAAAAAAATCTTGTGCCAACTCCACCTCCTGGATCCTCATACTCACATTTCTGCAGATTCCTTCTCCCCTGACGGTAAAACCATTGCCTACCATTACTCCGAATTGTTTCCCCTTTTCCACATTCAAGCCTAGCTTCCTTACCAACTCCTTTGAGATGAAATTGTGGGACGCCCCACTATCAACCAACACAATGACTATCTCATCTCCAATCATTCCTCAGATCTTCAAAGTCTTATCCATAGTCATACCCACAATCGAGTTCATAGATAAAGCCAAGGGATTACCTGTTGGGTTGGTGTCATCGTCGTTGTCAGAGTTGGGTTCTTCTTTTTACGGTGAGTCTTCATCGGTTACTAAGAGAATCTGCAGCGATCTCGCCTTACAACGGTGTGTGGGACTGTATTTTTCGTCACATTTGAAGCACAATCCCTTCTCCCTTTTGCTCTGAATCTTAGCGTCAGTAAGTCGTCGGAACCCTTCGCCTCGAGTTCCTTGCATGGGTGCGTTAGCTGGCCTCTGTCGTTCATTTCCTCTGCTTGGAACCAGATCTATTACTTTGCTTGAAGCCAGATCTGAAGCATGTGAAAAAGTACTTGGGAACCACTCATTTGTGCGCCAATTTTCTGGGTTGGGTGTGACCCGCTGGTATGGCTCCATTTTAAGTAGATAGGTCTTAAATGGCTTGGGCCTTTGTTTTTCCAAAACCCAGTTTTTCTCCTCAACTCTGTGGGCCTGCTCAATAAGTGCAAAAAGTGTACTTGGTTGGGCCAAACGCAGTTCAGCCCGAATTTATTCTTTGAGTCCATTTAAAAAAATTCCCATTAACAACTCTTCTCCTACTTCCCGTAAAGGAGCTGAATGTTCTTCAAAGCTTTCTCTGAATTCTGTTACTGTTCCAGTTTGTTTTAAGGCCACTAGTGACTCATATGCTGATCCTTTGAAAGATGGACAAAATCTCGCAACCACGGCAGTTTTAAAAGCTTCCCATGAACTAATTGGTGCCCTTGATTCAACCCACTGATACCAATTCAGTGCCCGTCCCTCCATACAATCCGCAACTGCCTCAACCTTTTCTCCCTCTGTATAACGATCGACTGAGAAATATCGATCTGCTCTGAAAGTCCATCCGGATGGATCTTCTCTATTAAACATTGGTAATTCTAATTTTTTTTTTTTTTCCTTTCTTTTCCTCCTTAAGGCTCTCAGTTTCCTTACTATGACCCATTTCCCCATTGTCGTTACTGTTGGAGTTTTCCCCCAGATTTGACTTACCCCGATCTCTACTATTTTGTGCTTCCCTCTCCTCTTTCAATCTCATCCATTCCCTCATTTCCAGCAGATACCCTTTTATACTGCCTAACTCTTCCTTCATACTCCCCATTTCTTTTTCTAATCCCTCCACCTTTTGCTCCATTTTCGATTTAGGCATTACCAAGCTCTGATACCAGTTGATAAAACCCTAGGATTAACAAGCAACAAACAACAACAAAATCAGACAAGTAACCAATTCGCGAGACAGATTTTGGATGGATTGAATTGGGATTGATATTAAGAACGGAAATTGGTAAAACAGAGTAATTTTCCAGGACTGAAATGAAAGAAAAAACAGAAGATAAATCCTAGTAGTTCGAGGAGCTGGGGACCTCCCTGATTCACACTTTACAATTTTCTACTTTTTAACCAAAAGGCTCTCCCTTTTATACATGAATCATCTAACAATTTTTACTCCCTTCTAACTAATTGGTTCACACGTCACCTGCCTCCAGCTTGTTCACACGTCACCTGCCTTCAGCTTTTCTCCACTCAAGCATGCTTCTCCCATTCCAACCAAATCTGTTAGTGTCTTTTTACCCTTGTGCCCTCTGTGCTGGTAAACCTTCTTGATAGGTGGTCTATCAGTTCCACAGATATTATCTCATTTAGTTTGTATTTCTTAAATGAGTTTAGTGTGTTGAAGTTGCATAATGTTTTAGCTGGACACCTTCTAGTAGTTTATAAGCTTTTGTGCTATGAAAAGTTGTTTAGAAATCAAAACAAGCTTCCTTTTCAGGCATATGCTGTTGGTAGGGCTTTGACGCAAAAGCTGAAGGAGCTTATACCACGACAAATGTTTAAAATACCAATTCAAGTAAGATCTCTATATTCTTTTAGTTGTCAGTAATCTAAAAGTCTAGATTAATTTCATTAATAATGTAAAGAAAGATGCTTTGAATGTGATCATCAAGTGCACTATAAAGCTTGTTTGATTTACTATGTATAAGGCTTGTGTTGCAATAGTTGTGAGTTAAGTTTATTTCAATCCAATGGTTACCATGTGTGTATATGTGCGTGTGTTGTGATCTCTCATTTCTCATATATATTTTAGACATAAGGAACATATCTGGGCTTTGGGCTTCTAGCATTATTTCAGTGGCTGTACTATGTTAGGGTGTTGTATTCCTAAGTACTTTATTAATCTATAGGCTTCTGTAATCCTGTAGCTGACCATAAATAAGTAATTGTTGAATATCTGATAGGGAGATTAAGACAACTGGTGAGTTGCATTGGCTAATCTGTGCCCCTTTCCTACACTTTATTTATTTTTCTTCTATTATTCTCTGTTCTTCAATCCATTTATCCATCTCCACAACTATATAAGTGCGTATATCTACATACATCTGTATAGATGCTTGTGTGTCTGTGTGTATGTGACTACATGAATCTACATATTTGTAGTCAAACTGCTAGTATTGTGTCAGCTTGGTATAATTTCTGTGTTTGTGTGCTTAGGTATGAACTGCTTAAATAAAATATAGTTCTGTATATGGTGTTCTGTTAGTGCGTTGTGGACCATTCTAAAATTGTGCATTCTGGTTTGAATCTCTCTTTCTTCATTGGTGATGTTCCATTTTAATTGTTTATATACTGCAACAGGTAAAATGCCTGATTGTGGAACATTGTTCTTCTATCATTGTAGTTTTGTTAGGCACTGACTCGGTTCAATGTTTTCATTATATAACTATTACAGGCATGCATAGGTGCTAAAGTGATCGCCAGTGAATCTTTGTCAGCAATTAGAAAGGATGTTTTAGCCAAATGTTATGGTAAACCTCTTAAGGAACTTAAACTTATGAATGATATGATAATGTATGAATATGCGTGTTCATAAGTTCAAATTAAATTTGTGTCAATTGAGGACAACAGCAGAATGTAGGAGCTGTAATAAATATCAGAATACTTCAACTACTACAGCATTGGCTCTGAAAATTGGTTCAAAAAGAGCTTATGAGTGATTTAAAAAGTTGTTTTACATTTATTCGGAGAACATCAAAATTCAGACTTTTTCAATGTGCTCTTTTGAAGTTTTTAGAGTTTTGATGTCTTCAAATGTAAAAGATGCTCCTACATCATGTTAAAAATTGGATGCTACTACATCATGTTAAAAATTTTACTTTATCTTTTCTTTGTAATAGAACCTTTTTTTTTCTACACTGGTACAATTGACAACTAATTATTTTTTCTTTTAAAAAAAAAAAGGGGGAACTTGTATTTATGTAAGCCTTACTTAAAGAAGCTATTCGAAACAAACCCCTAGATTCTGTGTTCTTTGTGGAAGGGCAGACTTGAATTATAGGATAGCTGATAGCTGTTCAAGAGTGTTGGGATGAATGTAAGTTCAAATGTAGTCTTGGAATATAATAAATGTATTAACGATAATGACTTTTTTTTTTTTTTTTTTTTTGCCTGAAGTTTTATTTAACTTTAAGATATATTCATTTTTTACTTTCATAAGAGGAGCACCATTAGTGATACAAATTAGACACCAGAGATCCAGAATTCAGAATGTTTGTTCAAATTTGGAAAGACTGACTCTTTTATTATTCTAACCTTTTATCAACGTCTTACGATATTTAAAATCTGGCCAGAGCATTAGAGCTTTTAATTACTACCTTTTTTCTTTTCTCATATTATTTATCCATTGTGTTTCTTTGTATCTTCTAAAGCGTGGAAGCTTCTGTCCCCCTTTTTCTCTGTATATTGCTTTGTAACCAACTGTTTTTCTATTTCTCCTCTATTCTTGTAGGTGGAGACATTTCAAGGAAAAAGAAACTACTTAAGAAACAGGTGCTTTGTCTTACTTGCCAATCTATAATGTGTTAGTTATCCACAACTCTCTGTTGATTTTTGAATGCTGTTTGGTGATCATTAATTCACTTTCTTCAATATAAAAGTAATTTGTCAAAAAGTACCAGCAATCTGCTAAAACCTAAGTGCCAGTGGATCATGGTTATCTTTTTTCAAGGACTTGCATACAGTTTGGTGTTGTGTATTTGAGATTTTCCTATGGACAAAGTTACCTTTGGTGCATGTAGTGCTAACCTGATTGATGTTTCCTTGATATAGGTTGGAGTGTCAAGATTGAACCTTCAATTTTATCCCATGTTTCATTTGGTTAAATTAGTAATTAGACATTGGTTATTTGATATGTTTCCTTCTTGTGAGGGATCAATGTCAATTAGTCTTAATGTCGAGACATGGATATATGGATATCATTCTCTGTCAGTGATGATACTTATCATGCATTTCTACCATTAGTGATTTAGGATAAGCAAGACAAGACTTTCCCCTTTCTCAAGTTTTACATTTCTCTTGTATTCTCTTCTATACTGGTTGTAATTGTGTGGTTGTCTGTGGAGTTTGATTTGTATATTTAGGGAATTTTCACATATGTGTAATTGGTAGTATGAAAAATAACAGAATTGTTGACTATGTGTTTATGCTTATATAGGCATTATCAAAGTTACATTCTCAAATATTACAATACACAATGTTCACGTGTTGAATAAGGGATTGTATTTTCAGCACATTATTACTTGTTAACTGTATAGATATATTATCTACGCTAGAATGTGATTATAAACTGCTGAATATTTTCAGTACATCTTCTGCTGATTCAGCAAATTGAGAAAGAGATATAATAGGTTGCGCTCCTCCATAATCGTTTTCTTGTCTAATTGTTAACAGGCTGAAGGGAAGAAAAGAATGAAGGCAATTGGTAAAGTTGATGTGCCCCAAGAAGCCTTCATGGCTGTGTTGAAACTTGAAAAGGAGGTATTATGATCATCTTATGTGTTATCTTGTAACATTATTTCCAATACTAATTTTTTTTTTGACAAAAAAAGACTAGACATAAAAAAACATCCAGAATTTCCATTATTGGTTTATGTATGGTAGATTTAAGACTACTGTCTTCCAGTAATGTGATTTAATGCGGGAAAGTGTAAAACTAGTTGCGATAAAAAATGGATTGTATGAGGTTCATATTCTCGTTATTTTCCATCTTTAAATGAACCGAAATCTTTGTTCTAAGTATTACATATACATAAATCAATTTCAACTTTGAGGTTCAAGACTAGACTTTTCTTGGTATGGTTAAAATCCAAACTTATGCCAAATGATGTATATAACAAAAGCCTGTCAAAATGTGTCCTTTTTATTATTATAAAATTAGTTTGAAATTTATATTAAATTTGAGAGTTTAATTTATTAACATATGGGGTAAATAAAATTAAAGCGAGATGTTACAATTTGTTTTTAATTTTTATTTTTAGCAGTTTACCTTATTAGCGTCTAAATCTCCCACCATTAAAATTTCTGGGTCCCTTTCAATAAGATCCTCATCTTCAACAATAAGTCTATTTGCCTAGTGTGAGAATGGTGGTCCCTTTTCACCAATAATAATACTCTTTTTCTTTTAGTTTTCCATGTCCATCTTCATCTTCAGCTTTATGCCCTCTCAATCTAGGAAAATGGATATGATGTGTTTCTAAAATGGTTTACTTTAATTCTCCACCACTAATTAATTAACACTCTTTTTCAAAGCCCATCTCAAGAATCAATTCATCTTTTCGTACTTCTATCTTCTCAATTATATATTCACTTTCAAGCCTTAGAGATTCTTTAATTTGTGTATGATTTTTGTTAATCACAAGTTAATTAAAAATCATGACTCTCCTCATCAATGATCATTCTTTTAATATATATCAATATTATTAATCCTAATGGATTGACCTGACGGTTAAGAAAGTTTGTTCTTTAAATTGACTTTTTTGTTTCAAACTATCTTAGGGTCATTTATCACAATTTGTGATTTATTTTGGAACATTGGGTTTATAGGGTGTTTAATGGCTCCAGAGATTAGATGAGGTGTGTAAGTTAGCATAGTCATCAATATATATATAAACTAGTATTTGTTGACTGAGTTGTGGAAAGAAATTAAAAAGTCTTCCAACCATCGAATAATTAATTAATTACAAGAATATTAAGAAATTGTCTTTGAAAACACTTTTGGATTATTTAAAAGTAATTTATAACTCTAATTAATTATGACAAATTTTTACTGGATAGATATATAACAAAGAAGATGGTAAACCCAACTCACATAAAATTTTTACTCCTTTTATACCCTTAAATTTAATTGCATATAATCCGTACCAAACCGACCCTAAACAAATGGAGTTAAAATTTATGCTTAAACAGAATTCTACATTGTCCCAATTCCCTTTTACTATTTTACTCAACATTAACCTAATTTAATATACTTATTACATTAATTAGTTTGAAAAGATGCCCATAATAGTGGATTAATTAGTGATCCTCTTTTAATTAAAATTTAAAAAAACGCACAAAGTCTAAAGTTTACCTTTAAAAAATTGGGTAAATTAGATAGGAAAAGTGATAAAGATGTTTTAAATTGTAATATTTTTTTGGAAAAGACACATTTATGATATTAACAAATGGGTCCATGACTTTGGCTTAATTTTCTAAATGAAATGAAATGATTTTATTTTAATTGAATGAGATTGATGGACCGTGGATCCACGATGTTGATGCAGAGAAATTTTAGTCAATAATAAATATTGAGAAATGCTAATTTTACAAAGATGCATACAAAGATAAATCATACCCTCAATCTTCATGATTGTCTTTCTCTTTCTCTCTTTTCCCTTTTTTTAAGGGTTGGATTTATCTTTGTATGCATCTTTGTAAGTGTAGCATTCCTCATAAATATTTAGGGTATTGGGGTAGCTCAAAATCTCTATCAACATTTTTTTATTTTTACAATAAAATATCATAAGTTTCTAGAAAGTTCTTATCCCACATGGAAAGATTTGTCAGAAGCTTTGGAAAAAAAAAAAAAAATATATATATATATATATATATATATATATAAAAAAATATACTTTGAAGAGTAATAATTTATATATATATATTTTTTTCATTAAAGAAGAGTTTGAATTATTTTCCACGTATTGTATTTATAATTTATCTTGATTTATTACTCCAATTTTATATTCATATTACAATCATCATCTTTAGATAGATGGAGGATTTAAGTCAATGTGACCATATTTGTTAATTTCAAAGCAATAAATTACATGACATTATATGGTGGGACTGAACGTTTTCCACATATGTTAATTTGAAAGCAATGAATTATGTGAAGCCCCATTCAATTCATTTATTATATGGTGGGGGCAGTTGAATATGAAAACAATTAGATGGTTCAAAATTACCTTCACATGTCAGTTTATAATGATCTGCATCTCCATATATAAATTAAATAGTTAAAATAGTTGTGCTGGAGCCTTAACAACAATGACCAACCCGTAATACTCTTTTAACATTATATAATATGAATATCCACGCACAAGGGGAAAAACAGAAAATTTACCAAGCCGTAATAAGAGATATGCTAACGCGGCCAAGGAATCTATCTCCAAACTTCTATATAATGTCGTAATATTCTCAAGCTTCATCACGAGATCCTTCTTCAATCTGCTCATTGTTTTTCATTCCCTCGTTCTTTCTTCTACATGTAACCCATTCTTCTTCTTCTTTGGTGCAGACATTGTGCCACAATGATTAAAACTATGCCTTGTTTCATTTTAACGAAAGCTTTATCATTGACGCGTCTGCTTCTACTAAATCTTTCGCTTATCCAAAAGTTTCTTCATGGAAGCTCCATGGAGAAAATGATGATTGTTGTTCATGGGATAATGTAGAGTGTGATGAGCAAACTGTTTATGTGATTGGCCTAAACCTTTCGTAGCAGTTGGTTTTACGGTTCTTTCAACTCCAATAGCACCCTTTTCCACCTTCAAAAACTTAAATCTTTCTGATAATCATTTTAATGGTTCTAATATGACATCACAAGGCCCAAAAAAGTCGTGCTTTTCGTGGAAACTGCATTGCAAGAGGACAACAGTGGACAAGAACAGGAGAGGCAGGATGAGTCAGATGCCCTCGCTGACACCAGCCAAGAACAGGAAGCCGAGGTTGAGAAAGAACGCGTGTTTGAGAAGCCCTTAACTTCGAGCGACGTGGGGAGGCTGAAATGTCTGGTGATACCCAAACAACACGTGGAGAAATACTTCCCACTTGGCGGCGGTGGCGACGCGGGGGACAAAGGATTGTTACTGAGTTTTGAGGATGAGTCCGGGAAGTGCTAGAGTTTTCGATACTGGCATATGAACAATAGCAAAAGCTACATGTTGACAAAATGGTGAAGCCAATATGTGAAGGAGAAAAGATTAGATGCCGATGATATAAGAGTACTTATGAAACAGCTTGGTCTTGCAACATAGTTTCCACTAAAAGTAAGACCTTTTTATAATCATTAAAATAGACTGTTTTTGAACCATTCAAATTATTATCAGAAAGATTAAGTTTTTTAAGGCGGGAATGGTGGACAAGGGTGCTATTAGAGTTGAAAGAACCATAAAGCCAACTGCTACTGAGGTTCAGGCCAATCACATGACCAGTTTGTTCATCACACTCTACGCCATCCCATGAACAACAATCATCATTTTTTCCATGGAGCTTCCATGAAGAAACTTTTGGATAAGCGAAAGGTTTAGTAGAAGCAGACGCGTCAATGATAAATCTTTCCTTAAATTGAAACAAGACATAGCTTTCATCATTGTGGCACAATGGTTGCACCAAAGAAGAAGAAGAACGAGTTACTTGTAGATGAAAGAATGAGATAACAAAGAACAAGTGAATGAAAAACAAGAGCAGATTGACAAAGGATCTCATGATGAAGCTTCAAAATATTACTCTTAGAAAAACAAACGAGAGTGGGGAGGATAGATGAAATTTAACATATCTCTTACAACAACTTATAGAAATTTGGAGATAGATCAATAATTATTATATATAATATGCTTTTGTTGATACGTATATTAAACAAGTTTTTGAAGGTGGGAAAGGAGGAAAAGAGTGCTATTAGAGGCCTGTGCAAAACCAGGTACCCGAACAAAATCGGGTACCCCTAAAAAGGTACCCACAAACCGAATCGTTTTTTAGAATACCCGGTTTTGCGGGCACCCGAATTTGATTAAAATTCATCATGAATTTTAATTTTTTACAAGATACAATTCCTTCCAATTGAAGCCAGTATTCAACTATTCCTCAACGCCAATAGAACATGTGACCAGACAAAAGTATACCTTAAGGTATCAGTTTGAAAATCATGGCCACTAATGCCTTCTAATAATATTGCTGACCTAATTTTAAGACATAAAATTTGTGAATTGTTTATTAATAATGGAGTTTGAGCTAATTAGTTGGTTTAAGAATACCATCTATATATAACGAAATAGTGAAAACATTTTAAATTTGTTTCCCAAATAAAATAAAAGCACCAAGTCTAACTCATTGATTCATTAATGTCGTCTCTCTTGTTCTTGTAGTTAAAACTCCCATAGGTCGGCTGTGTTGAGTCCCATGCATGTAGTATCATTAGTTGCCCACTACATCAACTTTTAATTTAATGACTTAAATACTTAAGATTTAATATACACCAAACATCAAATATAATACTGCAGCAAACATACTTAAGATTTAATATAATTAAGAAATGAAAAATGTCTTTTACATTTAATCCATCAAACATAATACTGCAGCAATAAACACTTGCAGAAAATGGCAAAATGCCCCAGATTTACACCAGCAAAGAGCAAACTTCCAGTATCACTACCACCCATAAACTAGCATCACGATCATCAAAATTAACACTGCAATTCAAAGTTTACTCATCATTATAAGCACAACCCAACAAACTTTACTCATCAATATAGACAATTCAATTAAAGTAAAGGGTTAATTCA